CCTAACTGCAGTGAAAAAGTAGTTAAAAAGCCTTAAAAATAGTTAACTTTAATCACGTAGTTAAGCCGGTTGTATAAAAGTGTAGTTAGCCTTAACTGCAGTTAAAAAGTAGTTAAAGTTAACTAAGCTTTAGAGTATAGTTAACTGTCCAAAACGTAGTTAAAAGTGGCGTTTGTATAGGATTTTTCAGTAAAACAACGAAAAGCAACGCTTACCTGAGATTTTCAATCGCTATCTTCTCTGTGAATATTTCCTGACAATATAAACTCTTCAAACGCTATCGCTTTGGTGGTTTTTACGGATACAGAACCTCGAACAGAACATATTTTTGCACAGGACGATTTCTCGAAGACGAAGTATGGTCATTACACCAAGAAACACTGATATATAATTGCCAAACAGCTGTAGCCTTGGTTTAACGTAGACATCTCAAGGAAAAACTGCATTCTTTTATTATTTTTGTGGCGGTTTTTCCTTGTTTTTTTTGTTATTTTTCACTGTTTTCTAGTGTTTTGAATTTTTGAATAAAATTCCCGCCTATTTGCAAAGTACGAGTCCACAATCATGTTGATAATGTGTGTCAGCGGTCGTTACTCGCTGCTTACTTTATGTAATTTTGTGTTTAAACGCCACACGCAAGTCGCACGCACCGTTAACTACGTGATTAGTTAAATATCCGACGAAAAACTACGTTTTGTGCAACGCAGTTCAGTCATGTAGTTAACTAATGGACCCTTAACCTTATAACTAAAATTTTGATCTAGACAAAAATTTCATCACAGCTTGAAAGAGCATCACAAAATTAGTAATATTCCAAAGTTTCGTTACGAAATGTTGTAAAATGCGGATAATATAGCCTTGCGAAGTTTGCAATTTTCAGTCATTTTAGATTACAAACGGGCAATTGATTCCCAAATCGGGTGTTTGGGTATCAATTTCCTGTTTGTAATCTAAAATGACTGAAAATTCCAAACTTCGCAAGGCTATATTATCCGCATTTTACAGCATTTCGCAACGAAACTTCGGAAGATTACTAATTTTGTGATGCTCTTTCAATCTGTGATGAAATTTTTGTCTAGACTTGTCTAGATCAAAATTTTAGTTACAAGCCTAAAGGTCCAACGTTTTTATACAACCGTCCCCTGGTAAAATTAAAAACACAAGTACATATGTTGTGACCTGCTCATGTCACCAGATGAATCTCATTTCGGGCAAAATCAAAAAACAAATTGTTATAGACCGACTGAGAAAGGTTCAAAACGCATATTGATGCAGAAAGTTTTGGCACAGGGGAATTTTAATGCGCATTTTGATATAAGAAATGCTTAGCCGCGCTTAGCCGTGTTTTAACATACTTTGAAGTTTCTACTACGCTTAGCCGTTCGCCGGCTTCGCGGATCGACGTGGATCGAGTAAACTATAACTAGAGGTTATTATCGCAAGCAGAGGCCGCGGAAGCATTTCGAAAATGGAGGGGCATTGACTGAAAGGGGCACTTTTGTATATGACCAGAATCAAACGATTTTATGACGTTCACGAGCCGAACGAAAATTTTTGAAAATATGGAGTCTCTCTAACGTCGGAAATGGCCTTTACAGAGTCTTTACTACTGCGAAAAGGGCATTTTCTTTCCAGAAAAAGAGAGCGTTTATTCAAGAAATACTTTTTTCGTTTTTTAAATGGGGCATTTTAGCCCAGAAAAAAGGGCACTTTTTTCACTTTTAAGAAAAGTGGGGGGGCACATGCCCCCATAGCCCCCCCCCCCGGTTCCGCGGCCCCTGATCGCAAGGCAAGTGCTGAATTTTTAAACCAAAGTCTACATAGAAAATTTCGCGCCATTTTTCGGTTCAGATCGATTTAGAAATGTTCAAAACGAATATTGATGCAAAAAGTTTTCGTACAGTGGAATTTTAATGCGCATTTTGATATAAAAAATCCTTAGCCGCGCTTAGTCATGCTTAGCCGGGTTTTAATATACTTTCTAGTACGCTTAGCCGTTCGCCGGCTTCGTGATCGCGTCAAACTATAAGTATTCAACTGTTTGGAGGAGCGATTTAGAGACTTTTTTGGAAAAATAAAGAAATAAAAAAAAAATTATACGAAAGTTTACCTGGGAACGGTCCACAACTTTCGCTCATGATGGCATCAGTCTTTACCACTATACCATGAAGGCAACGATGTGAACAGCTTAAAAATTGCAGTACTTCAATACTCGCTGTTTTGCGTTAAACTAGCCGTATGTAGATTTTTTCGATTTCACCCTACAGAAGAATTCTCTTCAGAGCTCTTCATCCTTGTTCATCCCTTGTCATCCTTTGCTAAATCGACTAAGAATTGTCCTAATATACAATAAATTCTCAAAATACAAGTATTCAGCTGTTTGGAGGAGCGATTTAGGGACTTTTTTTGAAAAATAATGGCAAAAAGAAATAAGGAAAAAATTATACGAAAAGTTTCGAGAGTTTTACCTGGGAACGGTCCATAACTTTCGCTCATGATGGCCGCAGTCTTTACCACTATACCATGAAGGCAACGATGTAAACAGCTAAAAAATTGCAGTACTTCAATACTCGCTGTTTTGCGTTATACTAGCCGTATGTAGATTTTTTCGATATCACCCTACAGAAGAATTCTCTTCAGAGCTCTTCATCCTTGTTCATCTCTCGTCATCCTTGGTTAAATCGACTAAGAATTGTCCTAATATACAAAAAATTCTCAAAATACAAGTATTCAGCTGTTTGGAGGAGTGATTTAGAGACTTTTTTTGAAAAATAATGGCAAAAAGAATAAGGAAAATATTATACGAAAAGTTTCGAGAGATTTACCTGGGAACGGTCCACAACTTTCGCTCATGATGGCCACAGTCTTTAACATTATACCATGAAGGCAACGATGTAAACAGCTAAAAAATTGCATTACTTCAATACTCGCTGTTTTGCGTTATACTAGCCGTATGTAGATTTTTTCGATTTCACCCTACAGAAGAATTCTCTTCAGAGCTCTTCATCCTTGTTCATCTCTCGTCATCCTTGGTCAAATCGACTCTGAATTGTCCTAATATACAAAAAATTCTCAAAATATGAGTTTTCCGCTCTATGGAGGAGCGATTTAGAGACTTTTTTTGAAAAATAATGGCAAAAAGAATAAGGAAAAAATTATACGAAAAGTTTCGAGAGTTTTACCTGGGAAAGGTCCACAACTTTCGCTCATGATGGCCGCAGTCTTTACCACTATACCATGAAGGCAACGATGTAAACAACTAAAAAATTGCAGTACTTCAATACTCGCTGTTTTGCGTTATACTAGCCGTATGTAGATTTTTTCGATTTCACCCTACAGAAGAATTCTCTTCAGAGCTCTTCATCCTTGTTCATCTCTCGTCATCCTTTGTTAAATCGACTAAGAATTGTCCTAATATACAAAATATTCTCAAAATACAAGTTTTCAGCTGTTTGGAGGAGCGATTTAGAGACTTTTTTTGAAAAATAATGGCAAAAAGAAATAAGGACAAAATTATACGAAAAGTTTCAAGAGTTTTACCTGGGAACGGTCCACAACTTTCGCTCATGATGGCCTCAGTCTTTACCACTATACCATGAAGGCAACGATGTAAACAACTAAAAAATTGCAGTACTTCAATACTCGCTGTTTTGCGTTATACTAGCCGTATGTAGATTTTTTCGATTTCACCCTACAGAAGAATTCTCTTCAGAGCTCTTCATCCTTGTTCATCTCTCGTCATCCTTTGTTAAATCGACTAAGAATTGTCCTAATATACAAAATATTCTCATAATACAAGTTTTCAGCTGTTTGGAGGAGCGATTTAGAGACTTTTTTTGAAAAATAATGGCAAAAAGAAATAAGGACAAAATTATACGAAAAGTTTCAAGAGTTTTACCTGGGAACGGTCCACAACTTTCGCTCATGATTGCCTCAGTCTTTACCACTATACCATGAAGGCAACGATGTAAACAGGTAAAAAAATGCAGTACTTCAATACTCGCTGTTTTGCGTTATACTAGCCGTATGTAGATTTTTTCGATTTCACCCTACAGAAGAATTCTCTTCAGAGCTCTTCATCCTTGTTCATCCCTCGTCATCCTTGGTTAAATCGGCTCAGAATTGTCCTAATATACAAAAAATTCTCAAAATATGAGCTTTCAGCTGTTTGGAGGAGCGATTTAGAGACTTTTTTTGAAAAATATTGGCAAAAAGAAATAAAGAATAAATTATACGGAAAGATTCGAATGTTTTACCCGGGAACGTTCCACAACTTTCGCTCATGATTGCCACAGTCTTTACCACGATAGCATGAAGGCAACGATGTAAACAGCTAAAAAATTGCAGTACTTCAATACTCGCTGTTTTGCGTTATACTAGCCGTATGTAGATTTTTTAGATTTCACCCTACAGAAGAATTCTCTTCAGAGCTCTTCATCCTTGTTCATCTCTCGTCATCCTTGGTTAAATCGACTCAGAATTGTCCTAATATACAAAAAATTCTCAAAATATGAGTATTCAGCTGTTTAGAGGAGCGATTTAGAGACTTTTTTTGATTTCTGTACCGCTTTTTGTAGATGCAATGGACATAACTAAAATTTTGATCTAGACAAAAATTTCATCACAGCTTCAAAGAGCATCACAAAATTAGTAATATTCCGAAGTTTCGTTGCGAAATGTTGTAAAATGCGGATAATATAGCCTTGCGAAATTTGTAATTTTCAGTCATTTTAGATTACAAACGGGAAATTGACACCCAAACACCCGGCCATTAGATCTATTATCTCTTCTGTGATTAGATTATTCAAAAATTACAGGATCCCCCCCCCCAGGTCAACATGAAATCAATGGAGCCCCCCTCCGAAAATGACGTAAGGTCAGTTTGCTGGATGGAAAATAGTGCCAACCGCATTAAAAAGATTAAAAACTTCATAACATAATATTTTTAGTCTTGGAAAAATTTGTATTTATCAATATTTCTTTTAAAGAAAACACATAAAATGGTCGACAATATTAATGAAACTGGCGGGGAAGATTTGACAGGTTTAACGCAAAGTTTGAATGGTAAGTCTTCGATATATACTGTATTATTAAATGCTGAAATGCTGTCATTTTTTTATTTTTATACTGTGAGAAAATGAGAAATTATATTTGTAGATAAATATAAATAAAATAGTATTGTATTATTTCATTGACACAAGCCTGCCCTGTACTACTGTAGCACTACTTTCTAGCAGAGATTAATGTATAAATTATCTTATAAATTCTTAGATAGCTCATGTGCAAAACCAGAAGCAAATGAAATAAAAACCTGTTGTGATTGTAAGAAAACATTTAAATCATGTTCATGTAAGGTACAGTAATCAATTTATCACACGAAACATATGACACTATAGCCCCGTTTACAGACTTTACATTATGCTCAAGTTTTGGTATGGCATGGATAAAACTGGTACCTGTACCACTTTTTTGGTTCTTGGACAGTATTTAGCTAAGCCCTGTTTTTACACTACGCTCAATTTTTGGTACCGTACCACTTTTTGGTTCTTAGTCCAAGAAACAAAAAAGTGGTATGGGTACCAATTTTATCCATGCCGTATCAAAAATTGAGCGTATAGTGTAAACAGGGCTACTGGCATGAGTTTTTGGATTTGGTTTTTTTCTTTAAAATGTTGAACAATCTGGTAATAATAAAACCTTCTGTCATACCAAAGACCCGAATGTAATGAACGTAAAAGTAAAATATAGCTTTGCAGGACTATACTACATACATACCGGTAGTTAATATCTTATTATCACCAACACTGGCAGAGACTGTTTGGGGTTACGTTACTGGATTATCATTCTGTGATAGTATGTGCTTAAACCACTAAAGTCCTCTAATGATTTTAAATTTAGTCCTGTGCAAAATGTGGAGCATTATTTCAAAAATATTTTGGAACTCCTGTTGTTAAGGGGAGGTAAGTGTAGTAATACTCACTGACCTTGTCGTGCGGCATCTTGTGGAAGAAACACCTTGGTAGGAGCTTGTCACATATGATCTGCCAATATCTAGCTGATTGTTAATAGGTCTTTTCCCTTTTTAGTGAAATTTTGATCTAGACAAGTCTGGACAAAAATTTCATCACAGCTTGAAAGAGCATCACAAAATATTAGTAATATTCCAAAGTTTCGTTGCGAAATGTTGTAAAATGTGGATAATATAGCCTTGCAAAGTTTGCCGTTTTTCAGTCATTTTGTATTACAATCTAACATTTTGCATCAGTTTGATCATCTGATGCAAAATGTTAGATTGTACAGTAATACAAAATTACTAAAAAACGGCAAACTTTGCAAGGCTATATTATCCGCATTTTACAACATTTCGCAACGAAACTTTGGAATATTACTAATTTTGTGATGCTCTTTCAAGCTGTGATGAAATGTTTGTCCAGACTTGTCTAGATCAAAATTTCACTTAAAAGGGGAAATGTCTATTAACACATGCAATCATGTCTTTGATTATTTCATGTTATGGAAGTAAGCAATTCACTTGCTGCACATAGAAAAATGTCAACTACTACATTCCACCCTCCTAATTTACATAACATTGGCAATTAAAAATCTGCTAGATTTCATTTGATCATTTTTAAAGGAGCCCTACAGTCATTTTTTCATCGAAAAGCCACCTTAAGTAGGGGACTCCCTGGAGATTCATTTGGTTGTATCTTACATGCAGTATCCATGAGTATGAGTACTTCCGCACACCGGAAGATGCATGCATGCTGTGGTGCGCATGTCAAGTAGCGACAATAACGAAAAATGTAAACAATACTTAAGGTGGCTTTTCGAGTAAAAATGACTGTAGGACCCCTTTAATAATAGATGTTTCAATTCGCCCCCAGGTCACACTGTCGTATTTGCTGTGCGGCAGTATGTATCACATGTCATGTGATTGTCTACGACACCTTCAAAATATGCACAAGATGTCACATCAAGCAAAAGGAGGATGAACTGAGCACTCAAATGGCGTTATCAGCAATCATCAACGCCAAGAGTTGTAGCGAGTTTGGAATTGAAAACTTAAATTTAGCAAGCACAAATGTGAGCAGTCAAGAGAAGAAAAATGAGATCTTAATCAGTGCATCAAAAAAAGGTAATTAATAAATATTAACCCATTGACATTTCTCCCCCTGATGATCGAGTAAAATTGTCAGGCATTACTTAGACATCTGGAGTAAAATAATAAAATATGGTGCATCAGGGTGCATTGCCACTTAAAGACCATGTAAAGTATATTCTGCACATACGTTCGGGGCAGGCTTAAATTCCAATGGTCAGGACCTGACTGTTGGAATGTTATTAATATTTTGTATTTTTTTAACTTTCTTCAATTGAATCTCTAGTCTGTATTCATTTACAAGCATGGCGAACCAGAAGAGTGTTAAAAATTCAGTAATATATATCTAATCATATTTTACAACTGTAGCACTGAGTTCAAAATGTAAACAAAGCATTTCTTTACATTACAGACTTTACATGGTCTTTAACTCAAAGATCTTGTACTAACCATGGAAGGAAGATTAGCAACACCCTGCCATGAGAGGAAGATTAGCAACACCTTGCCATGTAGTTCTGCCTGCAATTAATGGAATTCCAGTACTAAAATTGTACATTTTATTTTCAGGTGATCATCATGTTGTCTCCACCATATTGAGTGCTGGAGCTGAAATCAATCACAAAAACTCAGATGGAAACACAGCTTTATTTTTTGCTTCTCATGGTGCTTATTTACCTTGTATGGCATTGCTGATTGTAAGTATGAACGTTTAACCCATTCCATTGTGCCCCAATGTGCTTTATTTAGCCCTGTTTCAATCTCGTTTCCCGAGCCTGCGATACTCGGGAAGGAACGTGAGGCTCTGGGATAATCCGTTGCCGGAAGCCAGGAATTCATGTCTAAGATTGAACTACGCATCCATGCATTTCAACGGCCAATCAGATTCATCCCTGAAACGGATTATCCCAGAGCCTCGCGTTCCTTCCCAAGGATTGCAGGCTCGGGGAACGAGATTGGCCCTGTTTACACTACGCTCAATTTTTGATACCGTGTTGTACGGGTACCAATTTTATCCGTGCCGTACCAAAAATTGAGCGTATAGTGTAAACAGGGCTTTTATTATATTGACTTTCACCTGTCTTGCAAGGGAAATCACTCTAATCACTCAATGGATTATTGCATGATGAATAATATTTCATTCTTATGTTGTTTCAGGAAAAAGGTGCTGATTGTTCTGCTGCAAATAAGGTACAAATTTATTAATTCTTTATTGGTGAATTAAAATTTTACTTTGTTATTAATATATGGAATGAAATCCCCTCTTTTTTTGTAGTTTGATTGGACGCCGCTGCATGCGTTAGCTTGGTGAGTTCTACCGCCTTCAATAATTATACATCTGGGTACTGTACATCTGGGACCCAACCTCTGTCGCAGGGACTTTCCACCGCCCTGGGTACAAGGATGTATGTGACCATGCTTGTTCCTGGTTTTTTTTTGTTGTTTTTTGACACAATGTTTAGAATACCCTGATGGAGAATTTTGCAAGTAAATAAGTGAATAGAAATTAATTAGTGTGTTTTTTATGATACAGTTATGGTAGAGGAGAGAATGTTGTTGAATGTGCCGACCTTCTAATTCAGGTAATTGTAACAATGTTATGTGGTTAACTCTAAACATAGTACATAAGGGGCGGACCATTAGAAATCTCGGGGGGGGGGGTATAAAATATTTGCGGCACGAATTTTTTTTTCAGTCTTGTGTCTCTGCAGGAATTTTTTTTAATGCATTTAACCTCTGCACAAATTTGTTTTCAAGACTATTTGTACTTCGCTGTTTGCTTGCACAATTTTTTTCTCTGACGTTATGGCTGCACGAATTTTTTTTCCAGGCATTTTCCTTTGCACGAATTTTTTTTTTAATTTTCACCCCCCCTCCCGGGATTTCTAATGGTCCGCCCCTAATGAACCAAGACTAATGTTTTATTTCTGCATCAGATGGGAGCAATGATATTTGCGATGACAGATCGAGGTGAGACAGCCGGGGATCTTGCTGAACAAAGTGGACATCAAGAAGAGCTAGTGACAATACTCAGAGCTGCCGAAGGTATGTGTCAATTTGTACCTAAATGTTGGTGCTGGTGTAACTTCATTGTTTAATATATATTTTATTCATGATATGCCAAGCAATTAATCTCTGCAAGTAGAGCATCCCTGAGGGACATAGGCACTTCGCTCCTGTTTTGCATCCTCATCTGTAGGCCTCACTGTGGTTATTAAATCTGTAATCTCCATGATTTTAGTTGAAGAAGCAATTAGATGTCTGTATTCCAAGATGTCCATTTCAGGTACAGTGTATGGTTAGTTTCTCATTGACCACCATATTCTGCGTGATCTACCACCATCTTTGCACCAAAATAAGGGTAAAACCCACTAATATTTAACCATAAAGGTACATTCAGTTATCAACTAGTTATGTCAAGCTTTTTCTTCTGCTAGAACTTGGCAAGGAAAGAGAAACGTGGAAATATTTAAAAACTCTTCTGAAAGTTGTCACTGATATTCAGACATCACAAAGTGACAATGGTATGCATTTTCTATGAATTTTGTTGAATCAACGTTTGCAGCCAACGGTGATCAATTATTTACATTTTATACTTTGTACACTTTGAAAATTCCTCCTTTTTAATCTTTGATTGCAGAAGATATACTGGTGCATCCAAAGCTCAATAAGACAGAGGAGATTTTCTCAAAAATTTTCTCATTAAACAGAGTAAGTTTGCAATTAGCTGGGTAAAATATTCCTACCACTGAAAGCTTGTTCAATTGATTGGCACTACCTACAAAGACAGTTTTAAAAAATTCCAGACTTTTTGTCAGTTGTTGAAAGATTTTAGTACTAGTTTAATATCTTGCTTTCTTTAGGTGTTTTCCCGACCAAAAACATCAAATCAAGTTTGTCAGCTTTGTGGTATGTTTTTCTAGCTACTGTATGAAATGTGTTGGTGCTAAATGTAGGTAGATACGAGAAGAGACAGTTGTGGTGTGAAGCATATTACTACTAACTCAAAAATATAAGAAGAATGTTTTACGTTTCAAACGAATACCTTTATTAGGAAGTTACTATCAGTAGTAGTGAATGTAAAAGCGATCTCATGACAAAAATAAACGAATCAACGAATGAGGAAATGGAAAGAATTAAGCAATGATACAGAAGTTTTCTACAGTATAACAGAATATTCTTTCGACTTCAGGTCAGTGTTCCACATACAGAGGCGATGTTGAACCTGTTGTACGCACTCCGCTCAAGGAACCAGACACACCACAAGTACATACATACAGTACTGCATCATTTCTGTGAATTTAAATTGTTAACTATTTCACCAAAACTAATAAGCAAGATTGTTATTCCTGAACAGATAAAAGAACAGCTTGACAAGTGTCAGCAAGAGAAAGATGAACTGGAGAAACAATGTAAGAAATTAATGAACTCCATTGGTGCAGCTGCCAATGCAAGAGAGGTCAGTTTGCTCGTCTTTACGTCTGTTTCTTTCAATCTCACAACAGTCTGGAGTCAGATGCTTCCATCACCAAATTGTCCTTTCAAGAAATGAATTTTTTCTTTCACTTGTTTTTCAGAAACAAGAACTAGAGATTCGTCATCTTAAGAAAGAACTGGGTAAATTCCGTGAAGAGAAAGACCTTGCTATTCAACGGGTAAGGATAACAACCTGGCAATGTTTCAAGCTTTAGTTTCCATTTAGTGCATTAGGTGGCTTGCACCAGCAGTCACATGGAGGACAGGAGAAACTAAAGAATCTCATGTGAATCTCACATTACACTGTACTTATCCCCATCTGCCTTTATGTTGAAGTTTCTTGGATAGCTTGAAAGCGACCTGTTCATTCGTATTTTAGTGTGAGGCAACGTGCACGAACAAGTTAACAAAGATTCATCAAGAAGCTGATTTTGCTGTGCACAAGGTATCATATTCTTCTTCTTTACCAGATGGCAATGAACGGTCTTCTGTTATGTCTCATCATCCTCTTGATTCTATCAAAGAAAACATCTCTCCAGTGCACATGAAACAATGGTGGCAAGCAGTAGCGTAGCCAGCCCGACGATTTAGTCCTGCTATGCAAATATGTTCGTGTTCATTGACTGTGAAAACAATCAATTTCTAAAGAAATGAATAATGATAATAATTTTGAATTTGCATAGCGGGACTAAATTGTTGGGCTGGCTACGCCACTGGTGGCAAGCTGAGTCAATAACTGGCTCAAGAAGCATTGTTTCGTGTGCACTCACGCAAATATTGGGAAGTTTTTATTTGAAGGAAAATTTTCTCCCTCAGGCTCAGGAAAGGTTGGCGGAAGTAGAGAAAGACAGACAAGATCTCCTGTGTCTTCAATCTCTTCACAAACTCACATGGATTCCTGACAAGGTTTCATTTCTTTCTGCTTTGTGTGTCTTCAATACTGCGAGCAAATCTCTGATTCCTGCAATATGAAGTTGTATGATTCTGCCGCGATCATCAGCCTACTTCCTAATTTAACTCTATCAAGCACCACAGGTTTGCAATGATTATTGATTGATTGACAGTCAATTGGTAATTGATTGTATTCTTTCAGATTGTATCACGTTGTATGAACACAAAATGCAGAGCACCATTCAGTCAGGTATACCTATCTATACGATTACGTCGTGATATAAGATGACGTCATGATATATGATGACATCATGATATGAGATCACCTCATGCTGTGATGACGTCATGACATGACGTCATGATATATGATGATGTTGTGATATGCGGTGACTTTATGTTATATAGTGATGTTATGCGATGAGGGATTATATGAATTTAGAATAAGTTTTTTGGATTATAAACAACAGATAACCATCCATTGCCCATGAAGAGTTACATTTATTCTTTTAAGACAAGACGACGCCATCACTGCCGGTGTTGTGGTCGAGTGTTCTGCTCAGGTTGTTCGTCACAGCTTTCACCGTAAGTAGAGAATAGTGTTTCGTTTATTTCTTTATTTTAGCTTTGCTTGTATTAATACCCATTTTAACCATTTTAAATTATAGAAACAGAAACGAATGTAAGTGAGTAATTTATTTAAGATGAGTCTTACCTTTCTTCCAGACTTGAACAACTTGGCTACTCAGATCCAGTGCGCATGTGTAATCAATGTTTTGCACTTCTTGATGAAACTTTTGTTGAGGTTGGATGTACAGAGAATGACACCTGAAGATATATTTACCTGGACGACATCGCCTACACAAGAGCAGGTACGAAACCTGAATACACCAGTGGTATACTTCAAACGCGCGGATCCAGTGTGGGTAATATCCTACAATATTGCATCTGTCGTAGTCTTTGTCTGAACCACTCAAAAAATATAAACGCATAATATATATATATACATCTAATTTAAGTAATATAGTATTTTTATTGTATAGGGACAGTATTTATTTTCGGAAAATTACAAATTACAAGATAGGCTATATTTATAAAAATGTACTAAATAAAGCATTCAGTGAATGTTTTATACAACGTCTGTTGCCCATAAATTCTTACAATAGCTTTTATTTCAAATGCTCGCATCAGATTCTAAATCTTGGCCCTACAACTATACTAGACTAAAGTTCTAATATCAGTTAACTGCGCTCAAAATCATCCACTTTTACGCATCCTGCGTGAACTTCAGATGCAAAATGATGCAAAGTTGAACGCGGTTCGTCATTCATTGTATCATGCAGGTGTGAACGAAGTCTAGTGCAACGGTGCTACATTGTTTCTGAGTGTCCATTCTGTTCAATTTCTTCAAGAACTTCTATCTTGATAAACATGACGTCATCAACTATGTACCTCCCAGCCCGCAACACCTCATGAGATACGAATTTATAAATCCCGAACCCGTTATTCGCATCGTCGGAAGGTCTTCGTAACTCGTCGGCGTCGGCGGCCGGTATGAGAACCTTTTCAATATCCCTTTTGAGCCTCTTACTCTCCTGCTCTATGAGAGAGAAACGGATGCGTTTCCCAAATGGCCATTTGAGGATCGCATCGAAGGGACCTTGTACGATTTGGATAAAGAGGGATATATAGCCTTGATCATTGAGCCGTGCTCCGTCAAAGAAGAGTTTTGGTTGCAGGAGATAACCATACGGCTCCGTGTAAAATGCTTGACCATATAGTGGTTTAGCTTTGCTTTGAACTGATTCCAATTTTCCATCAACATTGTTGACTCGCCATATAAACACTCCAGTGTTTATAGAGTTCATTTGTGAGATGTCTTCACTGAGTTGAACAAAGTCGTTCTCTCGAGATTGTCTCTCTTTTTTTATCATACGAGATACATTATCGTAATCCAACTGCATTTGTTTACGATGTTCTGAAAACCCCTCCTTCATTTCGTCTTGAGTGATGGTCAAAGCCACCTCGACCTTCTCGAACTTCCTGCGATTCTCAGAAATATCTTGGTGGAGTCTTGAAATCTCCTCCGCAGTCCCCGCTTCGTGTTCCAACCGCGCTGCACGCTCCTCTTCGTGCGCCTTGCGTAAAGTATCCAGTCCAGCATCCATCTCGTCTCGCAGACTCTCAATGGCGCTTTTCAACTTATTATGAACAGCTATTATCATCTTTTGTAATCTATCTTGACTTTCAGCTAACTTCTTATTGCCAGCTTTATGCGAAACACACGTGGCTTGAATTTCAGGAATTATTATATATCTCAGATGTCCTAAGTCTTGTTGCATACGCAACAATGTTTCCTGGAATTCGCCATTTTGTTGAACAGTTTGTATCGCAGTCTCAAAATTTTGTTCGGTCGCTCTTTGGACACCATCCAATCGGAGCGTGCCTTGTTCTTTAAATTCCTGCAAGTCAGAGTCGATTGTATTGATGCGAGCTTCTTCTTGTTCGTTGAAATCATGAAGTTCCTGTGTTAGGTTGTCGTTTCTGTCTTGAAGCTGTCTGATTTCTTCACACATTTCTTGTTTCTCTTGTCCGAGGTTGTTGATGACATGCACGGCTTGAGAGAGATGTTCATGCACCATGTCGACTTCATGGTCTCGCAAGTTTCCACGTTCAACCTTAACACACACGAGATGTACTTCACTAAGCGTTACAAGCAGTGCTGGCCAACTTAAGAACTATTGGCACGTATGCTCAGACTTGGAAAAAAGTGGCTGGGGATCCTCAGGAACATTTGTCTTAGCAAGAAGATGGAGGGATATTTTCAATGTTTCACACATACGTTATGGAAGAGTCTTAAGCAATCATTAAATCATACTTCCATATTGTCATTTGAGACATGTAACATAAATACAGTCTAGTATACTTTGTTGTTGCATACATGTGTACGGTTAAACTATTCATTGTTTTTTTCTCGCACTTTTGAGGAACATTTGAAAAAAAAAATTCAGGATCCGAGCCATCCCGAGGAACACTTTCTAGGTCTACTTCTGCAAGCAAATGACAACAGCAAGTATCTCTCAATTTATTTGGCAATGCATGATGACAAGAATGAACATTATTTTCTCTCATAACTGCACGTTCACCAAAACTTTCCTACCTTGGCCTCGCAGCCCACAGCTTTGAATGTGCAATCAATCAATGTCTTTTCACATTCTTCATCGACGTGACGTTGTACCTATATAACACGAAAACAACTCATTCTAATTCTATATATTCATACTTTTTTATCATGTAAACTCATTCTAATTTATCTATGTATCAATATTCCATTCCATTTTATTATAATCATTCTATATTTTAAATACAACTCTTTCATACCTCTTCTCTCGGGAATTCATTCCTACATTCCTGTGGACATTCGACAGGAATTCGTTGGCAATCTTTGTCATAATGAGTCTTAAAGATAAAACACACAAACGTCACTATATAGGCCTACTCCAGTAACACGTTTGATGATGATACAAATGATTGATTTGTTAAAAAATAATGGTAGTGATCTATAGGTCCATTAATCGAAAGCTCCGCCAAATAAACAATGGTATTTTCTACAAAAGAGAACAATTTCTCCAGAAGTTTAAGGCCACTGTGCCTTACTTTCTCATTCGCAATTGTTATAGGATTTTCACAATGTTGGCAATCAATTTCCCTGTATTGGCATTCTTCCCTCAAGTGTTTCTCCAGCTCATCTCTGCTTACTAACTCCTCGCAAGCTTCGTTGCTGCATTCCACAGGATGTGATGGACACTCATTCTTGTGTTGCTGAAGTGAAAACAGAAAAAATGAAGGTTCATTATGGGGCAGGAGATGTGGTCGTCTTTAGAAACGTTGAGCAAAATAAAACTATATATACAATTATACTACATATAATTAAAATTATTTCCTAAAATAACATTATTTTCTGATCTGCATAGTGCTTCATGAAACATACTGTACCCAGCCTTCAATACCAACGTTTTTGGTTGAATTTCACTCCACCATGTTTATGGTCATAGATTAAGTATGTGTATGGTGTCATTGGTGACGTGATTGTGACGTCATCATGACGTCATCATGACGTCATGGTGATGTCATCATGATATCATAATGACGTCATCACGGGCGTTACAAACTTGCCTCTATAAAAGTTTCCAACTGTCCCTTCCATCTGCATTGCTTGGCAGGACATTTCATCTCGAATGCAAGGATCTTTCTTCTGGCTGCCTTGTCTGGGAAAATCTCGTTCGGTTTCACGTCTCTGTCGCATGATGGACATTTTCTGAAACAAAATAGGCAGTTGCAGGTAACTTTAAACATGTGAACAAACATTGTCTCTTACTCATTAGTACATGGCAGCCAAAACAGGAAACTATTTAATTTCTATGTTTCCTGAATGTGGATTAAGACGAGAACATTGCTTTCTAGCTCTGTTTTTCTATAGCGGACAAACCAGGAAAACATTTCAAGAAACATCAAAATTTTCATGTTTATTTCCAGTTCACTCATGGCTTGGTCTGAGCACCTGCATTATTTTGACTGTGCCAGCTGTTTGAGGCTTTGATTGTAATAATATATTCAAATATTGCGCATATCTGTAAATAAATGTCTAGTGTAGCTTGATTAGGAGAAATCATTAAATGGAGAAGACAAAAACACTCTAATAACTGGAGGTTGACTACCATCTGCTGCACGATAGTGTTTAGTCACGAATGAGGCAATATAAGATCATGACTTACTTCACTTCTTCAGACAGACACGAACGACAAAACTGATGTCCACATATACCAATCTGCTGCGGATCTTTCAATATATTTTCACATTTTTCGCATCTGTATTGTAACGCTATCTCTGTCTTTGTGAACCAGTGTTTGTCATAAGCTTGGATGTCAGCCTCCTGTCTTCCATCTCTTCCTTCGTCCATTTCTTAGGCTGAAAACGATATCTTAAACGTGGTGGTCGAGTGCAGGTATAGTATTCTACAGTACGCTGCCGTGGTTTGTGTCTGATCTACCTAACCTGAAAACATATTCACGCATGAGGATTTCAGTGTAAGTATAGTATTTTGCTGACATGGTTTGCGTCTGAACTTCCCGCATGAAACGTTGAAAAGATATCCCAAACGTGGAGGTCTAATTTTGATAGTATTCTAGAATAAGTTGCCATGGTTCGTTGGTTTGTGTCTGGACTACCTGAAAAAGACTACAGACCTTCCTAGAAAAAGACAAAAGACTCTTTGGCCTTTCAAGCGGAGGCCTTGATCCTTCAACTCCTAACCGTTAGAGAATTCCATTGACAAGGAAAATCGTCCGAGATTATAAGGAATATTGCCTAGACATATAATAACAGAAAATGACTGGCTTCTATTGCAAATATTATTTTTATTGACTGACTTACAGTTATCTTGGTTCTTTACTTCCAATGTGTTGTAGTAGTTCAATTTTCCTTCATCCGCAGAATTGTAGCGCTGTAGGAAACACATGTACCCAATTGGAATAATAAAATGAAGTAAAAGATAACAATGACAAATATAGATATGTCCACCAACTACAGTGATGACTCAAAGCTCAGTATATGTTTGTTTAGTGTTTAACTCCTTAAGGCAATTTTACATGTCATTACTATTTCTCAACCTATCAAATGCTGTGTTCTGAAAATATGAGGCGCTGAGTTTGAATACAACTGGCAGCTGTTTTCCTTCTACATCACCATGGCAATAAAGCTATTGAAAACAGGCGTGAAAATATTCAACAAGTTGTTTGAAGGATGTATAGTTATACAAGTGCTACGTGAAAAATATATAGATTATAGAAAAAGATTTGACTTATCTTTAGACGCGCGCGAAGGATCGTCCCTCCGTCCTATAATCTATATATACTTTCAGCCCTAACCGCGCTTGTCATGTTTTCATGCTTGTCATATATTTATGTTTTCAGTGAAGCCCCACATTTACGATATTCAAAGCCGGCTGCCTGGCAGATTTCCGCTGACGTCCTGCATGCGAGGCGAGGCAGACTAAGTAGCAACTACGCCCCAGTGAAACAAGGATGACAGTGGATGTTAGTTGGCTGTCACGTGTTGTTGCGGGGGACATTTTAAGTTCTACATTTACAAAATGTTTGATGAGTGTTCCAACTATATTTTAACTTTCATGGTTCCAACTATGTTTTAACTTAAATCCATGATAGTGTTGGGAAAGCATTACGAAGAGCTAACCAAGATCGCGTGACTGTAAACTTACATCCTCGTTTCATCCGGGTTTTACTGTTGCAAGACGGCAGATTGTGGTGAACTTTCGAAATGTCCACACTTTCGGCACAGAATATAGAGCAGTAACAGAAGGGCCACTCAGCGGTGCAACGTGTCCGCGTTTTTTTTATGCAAAAATATGCAGTTTACTGGCCAGAAGGCGGAGCAGCCAGCCAGTACAGCGTGTTTATTGGCCAGAAAATGTCATTGACTGGCTAGGAAAATGGCGGCCAACATGCGCAATGCGACATGCGCGAGGCCCTTCTATATGGATCTTTATTCTATGCTTTCGGATCATGAAAATTGAACTAAAATACTAAATCCCTCAATTCTATATATCCAAGCCCCCAAATACAAGACTACTACATAGAATGAAAGCAATTACCATTATTATCTAACTCTGCAAGGTACCACACGATAGTGTCGAGAATTGAAAGTACTTTGAACATTATAGATATCTTGCACGCATTCTAATATAAACAGTTCATTATTAATCTCTTATATCGAACACGGTTAGTTAATTGAACTAGGATAGAATTACACTTGCACTAGGATAACTGGGACATTCAGGATAATTTGATAATCACCTTTTTTGTTGTATATAGTTTTCGCACTGGCTTTTGAGCTTGTGTTAGTGTAAATAATACATATTCAAACTATGGTGTAGATCGTCCTTGATTCTATCGAAAGAACCTACGCTACATTAGATCTCGTTATCGTCGTAGACAAGTTAACACAACGCAAGACAACACTATAGCTTATTTCGAGTGACGAACGAGACATTGGTGCCGTGACCAGGATGGACGGTCTAAAACGCGCAAGGATAAAACGTGGCGCTCAACGTGCACAAGCAACTAAAATTTGGAACGAAGCTGAACTACTCATAAACGGTGAAACGAACGAAGTTAATATTGAGAAACTACGGGTCATTCTGGCAACGTACGACGCGAAAATCGAATTACTTCGAAAGTTGGATGAGACTGTATCAGATCTAATCGAAGACGAAAAGGGCTTAGAGACGGAGATCGTTGAAGCCGACGACTATTTAACGGAACTAACTAAAAAGAGGTACACCATAGAATTCTTTATCAATCAAAGTACAATCCATAGTAATTCGTTAGCTAGCCCTATGGCTACCACAACACCACAAAACGGACACGTTTTTCCTACTCAAAGTACGCCGCCACAATCGCATAATACAAATAGTCATAGATTACCAAAGTTAGCACTGCCAGTATTTAGCGGCAACGTGTTAAAATGGCAAACCTTTTGGGACTCTTATAAGGTCGCTATACATGAAAACTCCAGCCTAAGCGACATACAAAAAATTACATATCTCAAAGCTCAAGTGTCAGGTGAAGCCGCGCAATCAATCGAAGGTTTACCGCTTACAGAGTCAAACTATGCGCAATGTATTGCAATTTTGGAACAGAGATTTGGTCAACCCCACAAGATAACTAACGCACACATGCAAGCCTTGTTAGATCTACCATGCCCTTCAAATTCAGTGTCTACCCTGCGCCAATTTTACGATAGCATGGAAAATCATATTCGAGGTCTCGAGGCGTTAGGAAAGAAACAAGACACCTACGGTGACCTTTTAATCCCCATTATTTTGGGTAAACTTCCCACTACAATCAAGCACAACTTAATTCGAGAGAACGGTTCAACTAAATGGTCAGTAGAACAATTACGCAAATCAATTTTGAAAGAAATTCAAATACTAGAAGCTGGGGAAGAAACAGACTCTTTCAGTCAAATTAGTCAATTAGGCAAACCTGTCAACACCCTGCCATCAACATCGAGTCTACTGACAAACGCATCCGGAAAGTTTGGAAACCATGCCAACGCAAAAGAATTTTACGCACCTAAAAATCGCCCTACAAACAAGAGTTTATGCATTTTCTGTTCGGGCCATCATCGCCCTAACGAGTGTACTGTAGTAAAGGATCCCACAGCCCGTAAGAATATTGTTTTCCAAGCGAAGTTATGTTTTAACTGTTTGAACAATCACCGCGTATCTGATTGTAACTCGAGAAATCGCTGTCGAGGGTGTCACAAGAAACACCACACGAGTCTTTGTAATGAAACGAACAAAGATGCGACAAAAAATACCGGGAAAAATCATCCGCCGAATAACGACGCACCGAATATTACGACGCAAGTTCAAAACGCGAAAACCAATCCACCCGTCGACAAAACCCCAGACCGTGTCCACACGTCTCTGTCAGTCAACGACTACTATGGGAGACAAACACTCCTCAAAACTGCCATTAATACGATAGCAACACAGAACAAAATAGCGACAGCACACATTCTCTTTGATGAAGGTGCTCAACGTTCCTTTATCACTCAAAGTTTAGCTGACGAACTCGAACTTACGCCTGAAGGAAGTGAAACCTTAAATCTATCAGTCTTTGGCGGGTCTTCGACTTCTATCAAACAAGTAGACATGGCTACGATTAATCTCAACACCGAAGATGGCGAAAAAATTCCTTTACAGGTATTGATAATTCCCACAATCGCAGTTCCGCAGAAAAGTTTCCCCACCGCCGAAATTGGAAACCTCCCACACCTCAACGGCTTGAAACTTGCACACCCTATGACGACTGATGATCATTTCCACATATCCCTCTTGATTGGCGCGGACCACTACTGGGACGTTGTTGAAGACGAAATCGTTAGGGGACCGGGCCCCACTGCAGCGAAATCTAGAATCGGTTACTTGCTTTCTGGACCAACAACTGGGCCAGCTGTTGCGACAACATCACTCAATGCAACCATCTTGAAAGTTATTGTTTCAAACGAACACGAAAGTAAATCTTTACAACGATTTTGGAATCTAGAATCTATTGGGATTCTTCCAGACGAAATAACAACCCACGAAGACAAGTTTGTTAATAAGGAATATCAGGATTCTTCAATACGACTCGTGAATGGCCGATACTGTGCAAAGTTACCATGGAAACCTAACCATGACCCCCTTCCCACCAACGAAGCAGTAACACGAGGAATCTCGACAGACGACCTTTCCAAGTCTAATTTGTGGACGCATGGCCCACCTTGGCTAACCAACCACGACCACTGGCCAGACTGGAAACCTAACAACGTTCTTCTGCAGTCCTGCCTCGACGAAGATCAAGAAGCGAGCAAAGTCACTGCCGAAGTCACCGACACATCTACAAACGCCAGCATAACCCAGATTATTCCACCTACCAAATTCAGTGACCTTCAACGACTACTGCGAACTACAGCATGGGTACTTCGCTTCGTTAATACCCTGCAAAAGGGCAACGCATGTAAGGGAAAACCACTAAAGGTCCACGAAGTTGGAAACGCGAGAAATGTTTGGATACGGGAAATCCAAAACGACGCCTACGGTAACGAACTTGCCAACATACAAAAGCCGAAAACCTCTCGTCTACCCCTTGTACGTCAACTTCGCCTGTTTACTCTGGAAGACAACATCATTCGTTGTGGTGGCAGAATTCACAATGCACCAGTGGAACATTCAGCAACCCCAAACCACCATTTCACTTTGCTGGTTGTCAACGACGCACACGAGAAACTACAACACGCTGGATTAAACCAAACCCTGACACAAATACGCCAGAAGTATTGTATTCCAACAGCTCGCCAGTACATCAAGAAAATACTTCGCAAATGTGTAACGTGTCGAAAGGTCTTCGGAACACCATTCAATGCCCCAGCTGACCCACCTCCACTTCCATTCTATAGAATGATTGACTCCCACCCATTTACCGTCACCGGTGTAGACTTCACCGGGGCCATCTACGTCAAAACGCCACGTGAACAAGAAAAGGTCTACATCTGCTTGTTCACCTGTGCAAACACACGCGCAGTCCACCTCGAAGTAGTCACAAATTTAACTGTTCCGACCTTCATGTCTGCCTTTCGAAGATTCGCAAGCCGCAAGTCCTTACCAAAAATTATGGTGTCAGACAATGCATCAACGTACCAATCTGCCGCGGAAGAGTTGACCCTACTATTCAATTCAACAGAGTTGGAAACCAATCTCAGTAAACGAGGAATCCAGTGGAAATTTATCCCAAAACGAGCACCATGGTACGGTGGTTTCTGGGAAAGATTAATTGGTCTGACAAAAAACTCCTTGAAAAAGGTTCTCGGAAAGGCGAATGTCACTTTAGAAGAGCTCCAAACAATTTCCTCCGAAACGGAAGCAATCCTGACCAATGACCGCCCGTTAACCCACGTATCATCAGAACTAGACGACACAGAACCATTAACACCATCCCATCTACTGTATGGCCGGAGAATTACCACCTTACCCCACCCCCTTTACGAAGACGACGAGTTTCGTGATCCTATCTATGAATCCGAACCTAGTAACATTGATGTCCAAGCAAAATTGAGAACACACCTAATACAACACTTTTGGAAACGTTGGCGTCAAGAATATCTGACGAGCTTACGGGAATTTCATAAAACCACTGGAAACAATTCAACCGAGATACGTGTTGGTGATGTCGTTCAAGTACACGATGACACGAAACGTGTTAACTGGAGACTTGCTGTTGTACAAAGTTTAATCAAGGGAAAAGACGGACTAGTACGGGCAGCAAATATCAAAACAAGTACTGGACATACGAACAGACCAGTAACTAAACTTTACCCACTTGAAGTTAAATCCACAACAACAGAGAACCCAAAGATCACCATTGACGAAAACCTAGACGCAAAGAATCCCTCAACAAATCCTCACCCAGCTGACGTCATAGATCAAACGTCAAGCAGACCTGTTCGAGCAAAAGCACGATTGGCAAAGGAGAAATTGAAACAGTGGACATCCATACTCTCGCGCCCCTTGGAGGATGTCGAGAATTGACAGTACTTTGAACATTATAGATATCTTGCACGCATTCTAATATAAACAGTTCATTATTAATATCTTATATCGAACACGGTTAGTTAATTGAACTAGGATAGAATTACACTTGCACTAGGATAACTGGGACATTCAGGATAATTTGATAATCACCTTTTGTTGTATATAGTTTTCGCACTGGCTTTTGAGCTTGTGTTAGTGTAAATAATACATATCCAAACTATGGTGTAGATCGTCCTTGATTCTATCGAAAGAACCTACGCTACATTAGATCTCGTTATCGTCGTAGACAAGTTAACACAACGCAAGACAACACTATAGCTTATTTCGAGTGACGAACGAGACAGATAGTGCTTAATGAATATCTATTCATACGCCCATATATACCAACCTTTGCAAGCGGAAAACCATATCAACAAAGACCTGACTCAGAACAGCCAGCTGTGTATAGTAGCAGAACACAACAGTACTGGAGTGTATGCATAAACTTGCTGTGTTTGTCACCTTATATCTACCACATCATCCTACGAAGTTTGTAGTTCTACGCTGTGGTTGACTTGCTACGTGGCAACCAGACAACAGGAAGTATTCTTTTCCAAGTAAAGTTGTATTGTTTCTTGGAATTTTAATACCACCCCAGCAGGGGGTTGTCTGGCTATCGCTCTTGATTGGTGCTTGCTAATATTATGTACATTATAATCATGACCCGTGAAATTGGTGTTATGTTTCACTGAAAACGAAAGTCCCATATATATTATTGTTGCTGTAATATGAGGCAGGTTTTAAACCGCATTGCTTGTCGGACCGGACCTGGATCCGACCCTATAACCTAAGTCCGAACCTAAACCCAGACCCAAAGCGGACTAGGGACCCAACGCGACTGTTGGTCCGTGTTGGACCAGAGTTCGGGTCCGGCCAACTCTGTAGCGATCCGCATATATTAAAGCGAGGGTAAATGTTGAGTGCATCCAGTTACGCACATTAAGCCCAGTGTCTCGAACAAAGTTCAAAATTAAACAAAATGGCCGTCGAAGGAGCGATTTATTTTTCACAATTTTTACAACAATTTTTTTCACATTTTTCCATCTTTTCCGCCGTACAATACAGCGCAACCTATGTAGTTTATACCTGACACTATTGCTGTATCATTTAATCATGGCTACGTGTTAATCTGATGGACTGCACAGCCAAATGTCGGCTGTCCTTCCATGCTGACGTGGTTCTGTCTGTTGTGACCCGAGAAAGCCTCCAAGACGTCCAACACTTTGTGAAATATTTCTGTGGAAATGGCGCGCAAGCAAGAGATAATTTTGGACGAAATGCTCTCCATATTGCAGCATCCTGCGGACGAAAAGATATTTTGAAATGGCTCTTGGAAGAAAAATATTTGGACGTCCATGAAAAAGATCTTGAGTCAGGCTCGACGCCGTTACATAAAGCATGTTATTATGGACGTTTGTCTTGTGCTTTATTGTTGATACAGGTATGCAAATTATTCAAGCATTCATTTAGTAGTTGCATATTAACCCACTGCGTATTAACCCTGTACTAAATAGAACTGCATTTCATTATTGAATAGCATGGAGCAAATATTTATGCGAGAGATTTTGAAGGCCTTTCTCCAATTGAACTATTGATGCTTGATTGTCCACAACTCTCTGTCAGTCAGTCACCAGGTAACCATGCAGTTTGTTATACATTTTCTATTATTGCAACCACCCACCATCATAATCACCACCACCACCATCATTGTTACCATGACCACCATCATTGTTACCATGACCACCATCATTGTTACCATGACCACCATCATTGTTACCATGACCACCATCATTGTTACCATGACCACCATCATTGTTACCATGACCACCATCATTGTTACCATGACCACCATTATTGTTACCATCACCACCATCATTGTTACCATGACCACCATCATTGTTACCATGACCACCATCATTGTTACCATGACCACCACCGTTACCATCACCACCATCATTGTTACCATGACCACCATCATTGTTACCATGACCACCATAATTGTTACCATGACCACCATAATTGTTACCATGACCACCATAATTGTTACCATGACCACCATAATTGTTACCATGACCACCATGATTATTATCACCACCATCATTATTGCTACCATGATCATTCCCATCACCACCATGCATCATCACTACCATCATAACAACCATTATCACCATAATCACCACAATTAATCACCATAATCATCACCACCATCATCTTCACCACCCAATACTTTGAATAATAATTATTGTTATACTGTAGCAGGCCAACTGTTTCAAAAATAGATATCTGTGCTCAAAATTTCTAAATACACTCACAGCAATAGGAATACTTATCATAAATGTAATGATTTTTAGACACTCGTCTTGATGTGTACAGCTGGGGTAGAAACAGCAACTTCACACTAGGGCATGGGGATGACAAGGAAAGAAACATTCCTGAAGTTGTTGATGTTTTTGCAAGAATGCTTCATATTAGTATTAAACAGGTACTAGAAACAAAATATCATGCAGTAATTAACCCATTGAATACATGGCAGCACTCTCCCCTTGACAAGTAACATTGTCTGCCATTTAACCAAGTAAAATGATAAAGTACAGCACAATGCAACATAATGGCTGAGGAATTGAAATACACCCTTCCGGAAAGTATGTCACTTTGGCTATAGAGCCTCATTTTCGTGTATGACATCAGTTAAAGTCCACGTCTCAATCATGAAAACGATGCTCTATAGCCAAGGTGACGCACTTTCCGGAAGCGTGTATTGAAGTTGACTTTTAATTTGTGCACTTATTACCATAGTGTTGAAATACCTACAGTATACAGGACTGATACAATGTGTGATGTATTTGCAGGTTGTCATGTGTAAGTTTCATGCAGTATTTCTCACAGATAATGGCAATGTCTGGACATGTGGTCATGGGCTGGGGGGTCGTCTTGGACATGGAGATGAAAAAACTATCTTAGTAAGTCAACTCTACTTAGTTTAATATTGAACCTCATAAAGTGAAGTTATTATAAATTGTTTTTTATTTCTGTACATTAAAGGTTCCAAAGAAAATTGATGCCCTAACTGGTCAAGTTTGTACTGGTATAGCAGCCGGCCAAGACCACACTGTCGTTCTGTGCAAAAAGTATGGGAAACCCTCCCTCTTTCAGAATATTTTGTATACTAAATAAATGTGTATAATTGTAAGAAATGTACATGATTTTATTGTCAGTATTCTGTTCTGTAGTGGTAATGTGTTTACTTTTGGTCTCAACAAATATCATCAAATGGGACACCATCGTCCTGCTGCACAATATTTAACACCAAAACTGGTAAGTTACCATGCCAGGCTTGTCTGCTGAAACTGTTTTACCCATTCTATACCTTTCCAAATGGCAGAACACCCTTTTCAAATGGCAAAACACCCTTTTCAAATGGCAAAACACCCTTTTCAAATGGCAAAACACCCTTTTCAAATGGCAGAACACCCTTTTCAAATGGCAAAACACCCTTTTCAAATGGCAAAACATCCTTTTCAAATGGCAAAACATCCTTTTCAAATGGCAAAACACCCTTTCCAAATGGCAGAACAACTGAAAAGGCATTTTCATTTAAGGCATTCCTATAAGGCATCCTTTTATAACTACATGCTAATTATCAAACCTTGTATAAAAGCTGAATGAAATATATGGTACTGTATAAGAAATCTGCATTGTTTGACAGATTGTGACTAAAGCTTTAAAAGGCAAGAAGTTTATCGGGATTGCTGCTGGCAATTAATCTCTGCAAGTAGAGCATCCCTGAGGGACATAGGCACTTCGCTCCTGTTTTGCATCCTCATCTGCCTCTAGATTTGTTCACTCTGTCCATCGATCATCTTGAACATGAAAACTGTTGACATTTGTAGGCCTCACTGTGGTTATTAAATCTGTAATCTCCATTATTTTAGTTGAAGAAGCAATTAGATGTCTGTATTCCAAGATGTCCATTTCAGGTACAGTGTATGGTTAGTTTCTCATTGACCACCATATTCTGTGTGATCTACCATCATCTTTGCACCAAAATAAGGGTAAAACCCACTAATATTTAACCATAAAAGTACATTCAGAACTTATGTCAAGCTTTTTCTTCTGCTAGAACTTGGCAAGGAAAGAGAAACGTGGAAATATTTAAAAACTCTTCTGAAAGTTGTCACTGATATTCAGACATCACAAAGTGACAATGGTATGCATTTTCTATGAATTTTGTTGAATCAACGTTTGCAGCCAACAGTGATCAATTATTTACATTTTATACTTGTACACTTTGAAAATTCCTCCTTTTTAATCTTTGATTGCAGAAGATATGCTGGTGCATCCAAAGCTCAATAAGACAGAGGAGATTTTCTCAAAAACCGGTGGTGATGCTAGGAAAACTTTGTCATTAAACAGAGTAAGTTTGCAATTAGCTGGGTAAAATATTCCTACCACTGAAAGCTAGTTCAATTGATTGGCACTACCTACAAAGACAGTTCCAGACTTTTTGTCAGTTGTTGAAAGATTTTAGTACTAGTTTAATATCTTGCTTTCTTTAGGTGTTTTCCCGACCAAAAACATCAAATCAAGTTTGTCAGCTTTGTGGTAGGGTTTTTTAGCTATGAAATGTGTTGGTGCTAATGTAGGTACAGTAGATACGAGAAGAGACAGTTGTGGTGTGAAGCATATTACTACTAACTCAAAAATATAAGAAGAATGTTTTACGTTTCAAGCGAATACCTTTATTAGGAGGTTACTATCAGTAGTAGTGAATATAAAAGCGATCTCATGACAAAAATAAACGAATCAACGAATGAGGAAATGGAAAGAATTAAGCAATGATACAGAAGTTTTCTACAGTATAACAGAATATTCTTTCGACTTCAGGTCAGTGTTCCACATACAGAGGCGATGTTGAACCTGTTGTACGCACTCCGCTCAAGGAACCAGACACACCACAAGTACATACATACAGCATAATTTCTGTGAATTTAAATTGTTAACTATTTCACCAAAACTAATAAGCAAAATTGTTATTCTTGAACAGATAAAAGAACAGCTTGACAAGTGTCAGCAAGAGAAAGATGAACTGGAGAAACAATGTAAGAAATTAATGAACTCCATTGGTGCAGCTGCCAATGCAAGAGAGGTCAGTTTACTCGTCTTTACGTCTGTTTCTTTCAATCTCACAACAGTCTGGAGTCAGATGCTTCCATCACCAAATTGTCCTTTCAAGAAATGAATTTTTTCTTTCACTTGTTTTTCAGAAACAAGAACTAGAGATTCGTCATCTTAAGAACGAACTGGGTAAATTCCGTGAAGAGAAAGACCTTGCTATTCAACGGGTAAGGATAACAACCTGGCAATGTTTCAAGCTTTAGTTTCCATTTATTGCACCAGCAGTCACATGGAGGACAGGAGAAACTAAAGAATCTCATGTGAATCTCACATTACACTGTACTTATCCCCATCTGCTTTTGTGTTGAAGTTTCTTGGATAGCTTGAAAGCGACCTGTTCATTCGTATTTTAGTGTGAGGCAACGTGCACGAACAAGTTAACAAAGATTCATCAAGAAGCTGATTTTGCTGTTCACAAGGTATCATATTATTCTTCTTCATTACCAGATGGCAATGAACGGTCTTCTGTTATGTCTCATCATCCTCTTGATTCTATCAAAGAAAACATCTCTGCAGTGCACATGAAACAATGGTGGCAAGCTGAGTCAATAACTGGCTCAGGAGGCATTGTTTCGTGTGCACTCACGCAAATATTGGGAAGTTTTTATTTCAAGGAAAATTTTCTCCCTCAGGCTCAGGAAAGGTTGGCGGAAGTAGAGAAAGACAGACAAGATCTCCTGCGTCTTCAATCTCTTCACAAACTCACATGGATTCCTGACAAGGTTTCATTTCTTTCTGCTTTGTGTGTCTTCAATGGACCTATTCCCTAATGAACAAAATTTTGATCTAGACAAGTCTAGACAACAATTTCATTACGCACGGTATCAATATCCCGTGCGTAATACAAAATGACTGAAAAACGGCAAACTTCGCAGGGCTATATTATCCGCATTTTACAACATTTTGCAACGAAACTTCGGAATATTACTAATTTTGTCCAGACTTGTCTAGATCAAAATTTTAGTTATTAGGTAATAGGGCCATACTGCGAGCAAATCTCTGATTCCTGCAATATGCAGTTGTATGATTCTGCCGTGATCATCAGCCTACTTCCTAATTTAACTCTATCAAGCACCACAGGTTTGCAATGATTATTGATGATATTGGTAATTGATTGTATTCTTTCAGATTGTATCACGTTGTATGAACACAAAATGCAGAGCACCCTTCAGTCAGGTATACCTATCTACGTGATATAAGATGACGTCATATACATGATGACATCATGATACGAGATCACCTCATGGTATGTGATGACGTCATGATATGACGTCATGATATATGATGATGTTGTGATATGCGGTGACTTTATATTATATAGTGACGTTATGTGATGGCGTATTATCAAATCAATCAATCAAATTTTATTAACCATATTCAAATATTTACAAGCAGGTAGAATTATTTAAACAGACGGATACATATTATAATGAAAAAGCTATAAATTTAATTATAAAATAGAAGGAAAGAGTAATATGGATAGAGATTGGCAGAAGAAAACTCCAGGGAGTTTGTAGAGAATGCCAATCACCAATTTTACCAGGGTCGAGTACAAACTGAGCAGGGTTTCTTATCCAAAATAAACTTATTCAGCTTTTCATCATTTCATCAAACAATAAATATTTGAGCTTTTTTTGAAATGATTTTAATGTTTTTGACAGAGTGATAGTGTCATCAAGCGAATTTAGAATATGTTTTTTGGATTATAAACAACAGATAACCATCCATTGCCCATGAAGAGTTACATTTATTCTTTTAAGACAAGACGACGCCATCACTGCCGGTGTTGTGGTCGAGTGTTCTGCTCAGGTTGTTCGTCACAGCTTTCACCGTGAGTAGAGAATAGTGTTTCGTTTATTTCTTTATTTTAGCTTTGCTTGTATTAATACCCATTTTAACCATTTTAAATTATAGAAACAGAAACGAATGTAACTGAGTAATTTATTTCTTGTTTTTGAAGATCTTAAGACGAGTCTTACCTTTCTTCCAGACTTGAACAACTTGGCTACTCAGATCCAGTGCGCATGTGTAATCAATGTTTTGCACTTCTTGATGAAACTTTTGTTGAGGTTGGATGTACAGAGAATGACACCTGAAGATATATTTACCTGAACGACATTGCCTACACTCCGAAGAGCAGGTACGAAACCTGAATAGACCAGTGGTATATTTCAAACGCGCGGATCCAGTGTGGGTAATATCCTACAATATTGCATCTGTCGTAGTCTTTGTCTGAACCACTCAAAAAATATAAACGCATAATATATATACATCTAATTTAAGTAATATAGTATTTTTATTGTATAGGTACAGTATTTATTTTCGGAAAATTACAAATTACAAGATAGGCTATATTTATAAAAATGTACTAAATAAGCATTCAGTCAATGTTTTATACAACGTCTGTTGTCCATAAATTCTTACAATAGCTTTTATTTCAAATGCTCGCATCAGATTCTAAATCTTGGCCCTACAACTATACTAGACTAAAGTTCTAATATCAGTTAACTGCGCTCAATATCATCCACTTGTACGCATCCTGCGTGAACTTCAGATGCAAAATGATACAAAGTTGAACGTGGTTCGTAATTCATTATATCATGCAGGTGTGAACGAAATCTAGTGCAACGGTGCTACATTGTTTCTGAGTGTCCATTCTGTTCAATTTCTTCGAGAACTTCTATCTTGATAAACATGACGTCATCGACTATGTACCTCCCAGCCCGCAACACCTCATGGGATACGAATTTATAAATCCCGAACCCGTTATTCGCATCGTCGGAAGGTCTTCGTAACTCGTCGGCGTCGGCGGCCGGTATGAGAACCTTTTCAATATTTCTTTTGAGCCTCTTACTCTCCTGCTCTATTAGAGAGAAACGGATGCGCTTCGCAAATGGCCATTTCAGGATCGCATCAAAGGGACCTTGTACGATTTGGATAAAGAGGGATATATAGCCTTGATCAGTGAGCCGTGCACCGTCAAAGAAGAGTTTTGGTTGCAGGAGGTAACCGTACGGCTCCGTGTAAAATGCTTGACCATATAGTGGTTTAGCTTTGCTTTGAACTGATTCCAATTTTCCATCAACATTGTTGACTCGCCATATAAACACTCCAGTGTTTATAGAGTTCATTTGTGAGATGTCTTCACTGACTTGGACAAAGTCGTTCTCTCGAGATTGTCTCTCTTTTTTTATCATACGAGATACATTATCGTAATCCAACTGCATTTGTTTACAATGTTCTGAAAACCCCTCCTTCATTTCTTCTTGAGTGATGGTCAAAGCCACCTCGACCTTCTCGAACTTCCTGCGATTCTCAGAAATATCTTGGTGGAGTCTTGAAATCTCCTCCGCAGTCCCCGCTTCGTGTTCCAACCGCGCTGCACGCTCCTCTTCGTGCGCCTTACGTAAAGTATCCAGTCCAGCATCCATCTTGTCTCGCAGACTCTCAATGGCGCTTTTCAACTTATTATGAACAGCTATTATCATCTTTTGTAATGTGTCTTGATTTTTAGTTAACTTCTTATGCTCAGCTTGATGCGAAACACACGTGGCTTGAATTTCAGGAATTGTTATATATCTCAGATGTCCTAAATCTTGTTGCATACACAACAATGTTTCCTGGAATTCGCCATTTTGTTCAACAGTTAGTCTCGCATTCTCGAAATTTTGTTCGGTCGCTCTCTGGACATCGTCCAATCGGATCGTGCCTTGTTCTTTAAATTCTTGCAAGTCAGAGTCGATTATATTGATGCGAGCTTCTTCTTGTTCGTTGAGATCACGAAGTTCCTGTGTTAGATTGTTGTTTATGTCTTGAAGCTGTTTGATTTCCTCACTCATTCGTTGTTTCTCTTGTCCGAGGTTGTTGATGTCCTGCACGGCTTGAGAGAGATATTCATGCACCATGTCGACTTCATGGTCTCGCAAGTTTCCACGTTCAACCTTAACACACACGAAATGTACTTCACTAAGCGTTACAAGCAGTGCTGGTCAACTTAAGAACTATTGGCACGTATGTTCATTGCTCAGACTTGGAAAAAAGTGGCTGGGGATCCTCAGCAACATTTGTCTGTGCAAGAAAATGGAGGAATATTTTCAAAGGAAGAATCTTAAGGAATCATTACATCATATACTTATGTATCTGTCATTTGAGAAGTGTAACATAACACAGTCAAATATACTTTGTTCTTGCATATATAATGTGTTAAAATTTCCATTGTTTTTTTTTCTGGCATTTTTGAGGAAAAATATTTTAGGATCCGAGCCATTCAGAGGAACACTTTTTCCAGGTCTACTTCTGCAAGCAAATGACAGCAGCAAGCAAATAAGACTGCGTGATGACAAGAATGAACATTATTTTCTCTCATAACTTCAGGTTGATCAAAAACTTTCTTACCTTGGCCACGCAGCCCAGAGGTTTGAATGTGCAATCAATCAATGTCTTTTCACATTCTTCATCGACGTGATGTTGTATCTATATAACACGAAAACAACTCATTCTAATTCTATATATTCATACTTTTTATCATTTAAACTCATTCTAATTTATCTATGTATCAATATTCCATTTTGTCCTAATCATTCTATATTTTAAGTGCAACTCTTACACACCTCTTCTCTCGGGAATTTATTCCTACAGTGCTGTGGACATTCCACAGGAATTCGTTGGCAATGTTCGTCATAATGAGTCTTAAAGATAAAACAAACAAATTTCATTATATACTCCAGTAACACGTTTGATGATGATACAAATGATTGTTTTGTTAAAAAAATAATGGCAGTGATCTAGGCCCATTCATCGAAAGCCTCGCCCAGTGGCTGCGCCGGGCCTCAGAATTTGGGGGGGACATTTGAGGGGCAAACTCGCATTTTGGGGGGCAAGATAGAATTTTTAAAAAGGTACTGCTATTTGCCCATGCCGTTATCACAGGACTCCCCCCCCCCAGGAGATCCCCCCTGAAAAGGGGGGCGATATTCCTAGGAATATATTCCTAGGAATATCGCCCCCAGGAGGGCGAATACCCTAGGAATATCGCCCCCCTTTAGGATATTCGCCCTTCATAAATGCGATGTGGTTTATTCAAATAATTTCGTGATACTTTTATCTTATTAGTGCCTTACACGTTTGAGAATTTAACTCTGCAAAACTAAAGCTTTTTTTGTCTTTTTTGAAACGTATTATTGGAGTATTGGCAAGTTTTACCATTCAGAGATTTACAAACTAATATTGAAACTGTAAAAAACAGTTTCATGTATACGCGCATTCACTAATGAGTAATGACAACGTATAAGCCATACACTTTCCGATAACGACAAAACGCTTGTGTAGCCTTTAGTCGCTCTCAGTGACTAATATTTTTTTTGAGGGGGGGGGGGCAGAAAATAAATGCAAATGCCGCCCTTGGCGCCGCCACTGGCTTCGCCAAATAAACAGTGGTATTTTCTACAAAATAAAACAATTCCTCTCGTAGTTTAAGGCCACTGTGCCTTACTTTTTGATCCGCAATTGTTATACGATTTTCACAATGTCGACAATCAATTTTCCTGTATCGGCATTCTTCCTTTAAGTGTTTCTCCAGCTCTTCTATGTTTACTAACTTCTCGCAAGCTTCGTTGCTGCATTTCTCAAGACGTAATGGACAGTCCTTGTGTTGCTGAAGTGAAGACATAAAAATGAAGGTTCATTATGGGGCAGCAGATGTGATCGTCCTTAGAAACGCAAAATCAAACTATATATACAATACTACATAAAATAAAAAATAACATTATTTTCTCATCTGCTGTACGATGTCCTTCATGAAACCTACTATACTAGGCAATGCCAACTTTTTTTGTAACCTACTGTACCAACTTTTTTTGTTGGACCAGGAACTGGTCCCCAATCGCTGCTAATCTTCTTGTTGTTGTTGTTGTTGTTGTTAGGGGGCGACGCTCTTTGAAAAAACCCTAAGGCTCCGTCATTACTTGTCTGATCGGAATGAAATTTGACACAATTATTCTAAGCAATATTCCGCATCGATTGACGGTGTTCGATTTTTCACTTTTGACTTTAGAAGCAAGATACAAGCAATTTTTGACTGTATTCGTAGCAAATAATATATACATATTAATATTCAGCAAATATATTAGCAAACGCAAACGATAAGAAAGACATTGTCTTGTCTATTGTTGTGAACACAATC